GATTATCTTGCCCTTTATTATATTGCGGAAACAGAGTTTTGATACTGCGGTTTCTTCAACTTCACACACTCCTCAGAGAGGGCCAGTGCATTGAAATAGTGAACAAACCCATCTAAAACTGTGGTTAAACAGCCAAACAGAGCACACTGAAACTCCCTCTTGCTGTTGAAATGCGGGAGTCATATGTCAGGTGTATGAATAAGCCACGACGGCTCCACCCATCCTCTATTGTGAATGTCCACTCACTCTATCGATGCCCCACTTTTATTTATCTTTCAAATCATGAGAACAAAACTAAAACTGCAGGACAATCAGGACGCCAGCTATACATGTTGCTTTTGTGTGCTCCTTTGTTTTGTGGAAGCCTTAGATGAGGCTTTAAGATGACATTAAAAGCTATATTTTTACAGGGTGAGTGGTGGTTGCTTGCCATGTGGCATTGCCATTGGCCATGTGGTTTCTAAGGTGTTCTGAGTGGTGTGTTGCTGTCCAGCTGCTTCGCCCATAGCATAGGGCCTGGCTTATACAGCCCAGGTCAAAAGAACCCAAAGTCTTATAATCTGGTACTTAGATATGATCGGGGCATTTTTTTTTTTTTGCCCATTACTCTGATTGCTTAGAAAATTAGAGCTCAAATCTCCTCAGCAAGCTGCATGATTTGATGAATCACTCATGTAAGACAAGGCAAGTTACAGGGAAGCCACTTTTTTGAGGGAGTACAACACTGCTGTTCAAAAGTTTGGGGTCAGGAAGATGTTTTTAGCTTTTATTGCCTATATTGTCACTGCAAAGTGTATTATTTGGGCTGTAAATGAGTGGGAGGGGGGACTATACTTTTAGAAGAAATGCTGCTTATATGTTACTAATCTAAAGCCTGTTTTGGACAGCATTACATTATCATAACAGGAGTTATAAGTTATAACAAGTTAGTGAGTGATTTAAGGATTTTTAGATTGATGGAAAATGCATATTTTGGCTACAATCGGTTTGTTGAAGTTTGGCCTGTTCTCTCTGCAGACATTCAGGGAGGCAACATCAATTATTTTTTGTCATTTCCTGAAGTATCTAGTCTAGACAGAGAAGCCTCAAACCTCCAGCAGAGCCATTTGAATACACAATTCATTGTCTATCTTTAATTTAAGGCCAGAGCTGAATCATTACATTAATGTATGTTAGATTCCACATATACACCACTTGAACAGGAAACTCACAGCCTGTAACGAGGATAAAATATGTCATGACTCACTTCCTTGAAACCAAAAACTTTTCATTAAATGGTGGTTGTATGCTTTCATTTGGGTGGAGACATGGGCCAAAGTAGGCACGATATGGGCTTGAGGTATACAGGCCCTATGATTTGTCCACAGGTTCCATGTCTAGTGTATTCTGGTCTCTACATATGGACCATACAGTTGAGAGTTCACCCAAAAGTATGAGTGTTTTTTGTCCATACAATGAAATTCAATGGGGTCCAATCTTATTTTGACCTCCCATTGCCAGTCGTCTTTTGAGTTCCACAGTCGTGAAGTTTTCAATTTTGGGTGTGTACATTCTTAGAAAAAAAGGTTCAATGGGGTTCTATACCCTATAGGACTCAATTTTAAAGAACCCTTTATGTTAAAAAAAAAAAATTCTATAGGGATAAATGTCTGAAATGATTGCATAACACTTTCATGTTTAATGGGTTATTTCATTTTTTTCTAGTGATAAAGTATGTTTACGAGCTGTTTAATTCATGAAATTCAGTTACAAATAAAAATGATTTAAAACAAAATTAATTCAAATTGAATCCCGTGATTGGAACTCCTAAAATGTTTTATAAGCGCCTGACAGAACCCTTCAAAGTTCAATATAGAACATTTTATTCTAAGAGTGACTATCCCTTTTGTCTATGGGATTTTTTAAATAATAATTAAAAAAAAAAACTTGGATGTGAGCAAATGTAAAGTAAAAGGGTTTAGGAATTTGTTCAAATATATAATTCTAAGTATCAATAAACTATTGTATACATTACCCTTAGTATATATTTATGCTTTTTATTTATGTCCAGCCTTGTGAGCTGCTAAAGAGTCTTTCGTTAATGACAATGATAATAAAGATCTATATTCTATTCTAGTACCAGTAAACACAACTAATTTTGTTAGGGCTATCAGTCAACCCACTTATATTAATAGCTCTGGAGCCCTGAACAATGAACAAGCATATAATGGTATGACTCAATACTGACTTTATTTCCTGCATTCGGATTACTTTGTTTTTTGAAAAGCCAAAGGATGCCTTCACCTCACAAAGTGTGTTGCCATCTGTTAAACACACTGGGGGATTTCAAAAGACATGAACAGCAGTCTTGTGGGAGTCTTTAGTTGTAATGGGGGGTATTTAATGGCCAAGAAATATCAAGCCATTTAACAGCATGCAGATCCGTATGCAAACACTATTCACTTATAACCATCCCAAATTCTAGGATGAAATGGTCTCCACACGCACTGCTAAACAATAAAATGGGACCACGACTTGACTCATTTAGCAGTGAGTGTGGAGACAATTTCATGAACACCAGAATGAAGACTAAAGGTGTTCATGGCCTCTCAATCACTTTTATACATTCGTGAATCTTTATTGGAAGTGCATAATGGATTAAGTATTAAAGCTGATATAAAAGGCAAATTGTGGCCAAATTCCTAATTAGGTTCCATTTTTCTGTAATTTTAGTCACAAATTTTATGTTAAACTTCTAATCACTGGCCTGTTTCACGTATCAATTCATGATGTTGGCTTGACAAAATTACAAAGCACTGCTATTAGTGCAGCAGATTAGTAAAAAAATCGTTCACTTTGGTATAGAAGCATGAAATTTGGCACAGATACTCTCTAAGGGCCACAATTTTGGAAAAAGGCGTTGGCCACTCAAAAATTCAATATGGCGGCCGATTTTCAAGATGGCCGCCATCGCCAACTATTACTATTCCTTTTTTTAGTCCGCCAAAAGATTGACGTGCAACTCCTCGCAGCTTTTGTCACAGACCAACAAATGAGGCATCAAATCGTGCGGATTATTTGGGAATGGTGTGCTATGGCTTTTATAAGCGATCGGGGGGTACGATGTTTGCCCCAGGGACTTAACATTGCGACAAACTTTGACGATTCATAGCTCCGAGCGAGGATTTCACAGAAACGTGCAGTTTACCAAATTTGAAGAGGCTGGCAGGCTCTGTAAGAACATACCTCACAATGGGGTACAGGTTGCACCCCTGGGGGGCAGGAGCTGCCCAAAGTTGCCCCATTGACTTACTATGGTGTTTGGGCTGTTATACACATTGCATAGGGATTTTGTATTTAACATAGCTCTGGATCACAGTGTCATAAAGACAAGGGGGCGGGCTAATTTTACTCAGACGATCAATTAGTCTCTCAGGATCATTGTGAAGCTATTAAGCCACGCCCTAGCAACCATTTACAGCACCTTAGCAACAAGTTCCATTGACTTCCATTGAAAGAGATAAAAGGGATATCTCTGCATAGAAGTGTCATAGAAACATGAGGGTGGTCTCGTTTTACCCGGGGCAGCAAACATTCAATCATGAATTACCTGAACACTTCCTAGCCCCTCCCTAGCAACCATTGTTGAGCACCTTAGCAACCAAAATCCAAAGAGGTATATCTTCCATTCTGAATGTCACAGAGACATGGGAGTTGGTTTATTTTTTCGATTTTTTCGCAGCCTTTGGAGTTTCATGATTGGCAGCAGCCAAGCCACTCCCTAGCAACCAAAGAGAGTACCCTAGCTACCATTTTGCAAGACCTACAGGTGCTGGTCATATAATTAGAATATCATCAAAAAGTTGATTTCAGTAATTCTATTCAAAAAGTGAAATTTGGATATTATATTCATTCATTACACACAGACTGATATATTTCAAGTGTTCATTCCTTTTAATGTTGATGATTATAACTGACAACTAATGAAAACCCCAAAATCAGTATCTCAGAAAATTAAAATATTGTGAAAAGGTTCAATATTGAAGACACCTGGTGCCACACTCTAATCAGCTAATTAACTCAAAACACCTGCAAAGGCCTGTAAATATCTTAATTCGTGTTCCGAAGATGAACAAAGGTCTTCCGGGGTTGGAACAACATGAGGGTGAGTAATTACTGACAGAATTTTCATTTTTGGGTGAACTAACCCTTTAAAACTTCAAGGCCCTTTAAAACATCTTTCAGGAAATGCTTTGTCAAATCAACGTCTAAGACTATAGCGACAAATATGAGTATATTACTACTGTCATACCGGTTGTGCATGACTTTAGGGTACTTTTCCAGGTACACCTGAAACTGGACATTGTATCTGACAGAAACGCACCACATAATTCCCCTGCACTGAACACAAGCAGCAGTCAGACAAGCAAAAGAGCCTGGACACAGGAAACAATGAACAACAGACGTTGTTACATAACACACACACCCAGGCAAACTCTGTTCCACTTCACCTAATTGTGTGTGTACAGGTGTGCGGCATGTTTGAGTGTGTCTTACTGAAGTATGACTGCTACTCTCCATTACAATACCACAGCAAATGATCCATAACAGGCATGCTTTCATCTGTATTCTCTGACACAGAATGCAAAAAAAGTGACGTACATAAATACAAATGCATAATATTTTAATGTTGTTAAATGAAGAGGTTATAAAATGTATACAAATTTCACATGAATGTAAACTTGAATAAAAAACAAATAAATTTCACAAAAGTTGGCCAACAATTTCTTAAGCTGTAGTTCACACATTATAGCGTCTGAAAGGCAATTGCTGATGAATAAATGTATTGTGAGAAGTATATTTAATTCACAGTATAAGTAAACAACTTCTTATTATCGAATGGAACAAAATTACATTGTAATGAAACCTTATTAAGGCGGCGTAAAAATGAGACACATGGAAGCACCCATTAGTCTTAAAGGGATAGTTCACACAAAAATTACAATTATGTCATTTACACTGTGAAAAAAAGTTAAGTTGCTGCCTTAAATTTTTTAAAGTAAACTTTAAAATCTTGCCTAGTTAAATCTTATATAACGTCATGTTTAAATTGGTTAAATTATAGCTTAAAGTAATTGAAAAACATGTTTCAGACTTATTTTTTTAACCTTTTTTATAGTGTAATCCCCCTCATGTTGCACCAAAACCAAAATACTTCTGTTCAACTATCCCTTTATTGACTAAATAACATACAGAATACTAATAGTAGTGTGTCAGTATGCTATTTCTGCAGTATGTATACTGTAATGTATACTGTGCAGTATTCAGTCAGTTGTAACCCAGTACTCCATTTCTAACTTAGCCAATTAAACTGGTCCATATTGAAGGCAAGAAGGAAGATCGTTTGAGAACAGTGTGAGATCCATGGACCCCTTCCATCAGCATTCAGATACTCATGCAAGAGTGAGATCATCATCTTCAGATCTTGTATTTCTGTTTCCCTCTGTCACTGATCACGCAGATGTGCTGTGAGAGGGGGGAGAGAAAGATAATAGTAAGCCATTTAAGGGGACAACCGCAAAGTAAAATAATGTACACAAAGATAGCTAAAACGTTCATTATCCGTTAACAAAGCTGTCAGCAGATTTCGAAACAGACATAAATGAAGAACTAACACTGTTTACTGGCCAAGAAAGCTTAGTAATCAGGCGAAGTTGGTCTCTAAATGCCCAAATATCACTAATAACCGAAAGACATCCTCAAAAATGACTGATTTATGGCACTCTTCACAGATAGCAATTCTGTGTTACACAAAAAACACTCCTCACATTAAGATGCTCGACTCTCAACAGATTTTGGTCCCTTTAAGGCAAGTCATTTCACTTGGCGGCCATCTTTGAAACGCCTCTCAGGCAGCTGTTTCAGTTGGACAGCTCCTATATCTCTTTTTGGATGGGGAAACATCAAATTCTCCAAAGCTGTTCACCAAGCTTACGAATAGAATTTCATATTTGAAATCACCAAGGAAATCTGACAACAACGGTTTCATAAATGTTGTTTCTAAACGCGCAAATCATGACAAAACTGCATTTTTTTCAGGCTGGACCAGCATTGCATGTGCAGTCATAAGTGCGCGTCTCAGAACACTGACTGTTCCTGTAGCAACCAGAGCTTCTAAAGGCCGCTGCAGTGACCACAGATATGTATACGAAGATCCCACATCCCGCCGCTCCAGACACGTCGGCGCGTCCGCCATCTTGCAAACGGTCAGCGTGTTGTCACTCACAGTAAGAATCAATGATGTGAAACCGCCGAGATTTAAATTCCCGAAGAAATGGGATAACCTTTCACAGGTGAGAATATGTTGCTTTGTGTTTTTAAAGGTATTAACTCAATATTAAATGTTTTCACTATAGTACTTTTAATGATTTTAATTTGACTATTGTTAACTTTTTAATGTCGCGCCAACTGACGCCTTCGTTTTCTTGTATTGTGTTAGTTTAGCAAAATCATCTTCTGGACGGAGTCCATTTCATATATAGATATTCATACATGCGTCTAACTATGGGTGCAGACGCCAAGTCAACTTGCTCTTGAATGTTTACAGACTGCTCCATTATGGCGGACAGCTAACATATAGCAACACATTGAAACGGCCGCTAATGAGGCATCTATGGATGGCAGTGACGTGAAACTTTACCAATCTGTGATTGGCTCTTTTATATAAAAGGCGGGACTTATTTCACATCGCACTTTCTCCTTGTAATATGAGTGCAAATCATTATATATCTAGGCTGAATCCGAAATCGCCCCTTATACCCTCAAATAGGGCGTTATTTGAGGGGACAGCCATTTGTAGTGGTGTCCGAAACCATAGTGGACGTTATTCAATCCCACATTGCACTGCAATAACGAGTGTACAACCGATGTACGCTCAACGGCTGTCGGAATTCGCTCACTTGTTTTCATTCACTATCAAGTGAACGGTATTAGTGGACTAACGTAGGGAATAGTCAATAAGGGTTTAACGGGCGATTTCGGATTCAGCCCTAGTCTTTGTTTGGGTGTTAGCATGTTGCTAAGCTAATGATGCAATACTTAAGCATAAAAATACACAATATGTTAGACAGTCTACAATTTTAATTAGACAACTTTATAAATACTTTTGGGTATTGATATATTAGAGAAGAATAAAGTAGAAACATTTTCAATAATTTATCACACATTCACGGTTTGTTGATGTCAGTTAATGGTTAAATCACAAGCAGTTAAACAAATAAAATAGTCTATCTTTTTTAGTAAGTTTATTTTGTCTTTTTTCTCTAAAATTCAATTTAATTTTACATTTTCAGGTTTAAATATTTTAAATAAATGCTGTTTCTTTTACTTTCTATTCAAAGTATCCTGCAAAAATATAAAAATGTTACAAAAAATATTAAGCATGTTCTCAACATAATAAGAAATTCAAATCATCAAATTATGCTGACAATTCAGCTTTATCATCACAGGAATATATATATATTTTTTAAATATATATATATATATATATATATATATATATATATATATATATATATATATATATATATATATATATATATATATATATATAAAAGGTAGTTATTTTAAATTTGTAATAAGTTTAGTTAGTTTTTACTGCATTTTGATCAAATACATGCAGTCTGGATGAGCATAAGAGACTTCTTTTTTCTGCGAAATGCTTTCTAGGTGGGCAGATCACAAGATTTTGGAGCGTGCTGCTGTCTATGATGTATGCATGTGAGAGATAGATACTAGATTGCTGGATAATTGAGTTGAACAGCCCGGGGCATTCTCTGAAGTGGGTGTCATTTTTCACAACAGCTCACTTACCCCTAGCAACCAGCCCTCCAAATGGAGACAAATGGACAACTGTGCCGCTGCAGAGAGACTTTTCTTCCTAATTCTCACCCTGCTAATGCTGTCTGTCATTTCACGCTTTGGGTAGACATTGCAGGTAATACGTCACCGCAGTTCAAGCAAACAAACTCATTTATGCTTCAAAGAAGTTCTGTGCATTTCTCTACAGCAAGTGTGCGCCTTTGATACGCTGATCTCACACCAGTTGTCACTTCTAGACTTTGGAATAAGTAGACATATGGAGCGAGTCCCTCGTTTGGGGAGATTCCCACAATAAGCTTTCAAAAAGCTCTTTGCCAGAAGTGACAAACGATATTTAAGAACACTTTTTATACACCGAATTAACATAACAGCATGTCAGTTTCAGTCAATGTAACATTTAACCGTTTTATGTGTTGATAAAGGGGCTCTTACATTGAGATCTCTAAAGTATTCATTGTAATCCAAGGCATAGCCAACCACAAAACGATTGGAGATCTCAAATCCAACATCTGGAACAAATAGCACATAAAAGAAAAGGAAATGTTAATCTGTTCTTGTTATATTTTGGTTTTTCAAAAAAAAAAAAAAAAAGTGTGGGAAACAACAAAAAACAAAACAACAGTCAGGCAGCTTTAACCCTGTAAAGTCTGGCATGAAATAACAGTCATAAATGTATTAACTTAACAAAAAATAACAACCAAAAAAACATAGGTAAACCATTTTTTAGATAAGTATTATATTTAAAGCATCAGGCTTTTATGGCTCATATTGTAAGATATAGAGCTCATTACAACACATCCATTTTATTCACATGTCCAAACTGAGCAAAAATATGCAATTTGGTGCAGTTACTGACATTTATATGGCCAAAAAAGTATGATGAAATTCTGATCTTCATCTTGAAATAATCCTAACAATGTAAGTTACTTTTAAGTTAACTATATTAATTTCAGTAAAGATTCACAGCAAACCAAACCCCGAAGATGGACATTTTCACAATCATACTAAAAGACCTTTTACTTGCTAAAAAGTATGTCTATCGGATGACAGATTTAGAGGCCTGTGCAACAAATATGATACAGTAGGCTTTATAGAGTTAAAGTATATTATATAAGTACATTATTATACATGCAAAATTACATTAACCATTATGCAGAGTTTGTAATCATCACTTACAGTCTGGCAGATAACCTGTCCCACAAGGCACCCTTTTCACCAGCAACCTGTGACAGATATAAAACACTCAATATGTGCAAGTCTTCACCAATAATATAAACATTTCAGCACATACACAGTCCTACTGTACTGACCAGGTAAAGGAGACACAAAAGTATAGCTCAGGCCTGTACTGGACTGACTTACCCAGCTACTTTGATCATTTTGGGCTTGAAGGATTCAACGTGATCCAGCAGAGTCTTCATGGTCTTCCCAGTGTCCACGATGGCCTGTGGGAAGGAGATGAAGCCAAATACAGACGGCTGTCACACACTATAAGCTTAAGAAGCACACTCGACAACTTAAGAAGTCTTGGCATTGCATGAAATAATGACACCAGAGGCACAAAATAAACACTAGAATGCTTGAGTTCAATGTACTGTAAAATGTTTTATCAAACATTACTGTAGTCCATATCTATAAGTCAAAATCATTAGGGTTGGTGTAGTATTTTGTCCTACCACCAGCTATATTATATTATAATATATAAAAGTTTGAGGTTGGTAAGATTTTTTTAATGTTTATGAAAGACGTCTTATGCTCACCAAGGCTGCATTTACTTGATCAAAAATACAGTAAAACAGTAATATTGTGAAATATGATTACAATTTAAAATAACTCTTTTCAATTTCAATATATTTTAGAATGTTATAATGTATATTTTATCATTTTTTGTGGAAACTGCGATACATTTTTTTTTAGGAATTTGATGAATAGAAAGTTCAAAATAACATTTATTTATAATATAATATATATTTGAAATATACATCTTTTGTAACATCATAAATGTCTTTACTGTCACTTTTGATCAATGAATGCATTCTTGCTGAATAAAAGTAAGTATTAATTTCTTTCTTTAAAAAAGAATCATTCTGACCCTGCATTGTATTAATCATAGAATTATTATACAGTATATGCAAATATAATGTAGGTCCCTTTTAATGGCATGAACTGTTTTTACAGAAATGTGAATGTTTACATACTTTTGTAGCTGTATCAGACTGTATTATTTAACATCAAATCAAAACTAAATGTAAGCCACATATGGCATTATTAAATGCGAAAAGTTTGCAAAAAAAGGCAATTAAGACTGAAAAAAAAAACAATCATCTGGCTTCTAAGTAGTATGGAATGAACGCAGCTTGAATGCTTGGATAAGTAGAGGCCCAAAATGACACATGCTTGACTGACCAGGGCAGAAAGCAGAGGAATTTGCTATAAAGCATCTGAAAGGCCTCTATTTATTTGAAAGGATATTAAAGTGATTGAGGGAGTGAGTTTATCCAGACAGACAGAGCTCATCTCACAGCAGACGTACCTCCACAATCAGGACGTTCTTCAGTACATGTGAAGAGACAGACAGGAGATGCGTGACTGAATACACTGAACGCTCACGTCAACATCACAGCATTCAACAACTCAGAGTTAAGACAATACGAAGACTGTTTAGGCTACAATAAGGGTGGGGAAAAGGTCATACTGTGTTAGAGTAATGAGAATTACCACATTAAATAATAGGAATTACAAAAACAAAACTTAAAGGTAAACTATGTGGATACATTGTACTTATGAGAATTTGTGTGAATGTACCTAATCGTTTTGAATACAATTTCATTTGGGGTAAAACGTGACCTGTTTCCATGGGATTTACCCTTGAGCTATTTTTAACAATTATGTGATGAACAGCAATGAACATTTGTATAAAATTTGTTTATTACTGTGTAGACCGCCAAATAAACTACACTGCTCTATTTCCCAGCATGCATATTTCCAAGATTATAAACAGAGTGGTTTCATATTCAGGTGTAAATAAAAAAGACAAAAGATCTCTTACTAAAGATCTCTGTCTGTATCACAATCCTGAGCTCTACTGGGAAATCCAATTACTTGAGCAACTGAGCAGATCAATCCTCTTACTGAAGAATTAGACATCATAAACCTTTGACAAACTGTAACCACTCCGTCATGTCTAGCACAAGAGCACACACATGCATTCAGTTATAGCAGAATCAGTTACTGAAGGAAAAAAGAACTGGTTAAATGAATTTTAGGTCCATTATAATTATTGTTAATAATAATAAAAAAATATATATATTTTAAATATGGGCACCATTAAATAAAATTAGTGCAATTACCCAGAGAAAACGGTATCATTATTAAAAAAGGTTTTACATTTTAATGAAGGGAAAATCGGATGATTGGAAAGATTGGAAAAATAGCTGCAAAGTCTCTTATGCTCATCAAGGCTGCATTTATTTGTTTTTTAATTGTTTTTCTATTGTAATATACTTTAAAAAGCTGCAAAGCTGAATGTGATGCAAAGCCATTACTCCAGTCTTCAGTGTCACATGATCCTTCAGAAATCATTCTAATATGTGACCCTGGATCACAAAACCAGACACAAGTCACACGGGTATATTTGTGGCAATGGCCAACAATACATTATATGGTTCAAAATGATAGATTTTTCTTTTATGCCAAAAATCATTAGGATATTAAGTAAAGATCATGTTCCATGAAGATATTTTGTACATGTCCTACCGTAAATATATATGTTTGTGAGTGGATGCAGCAAACTCGCGAACATAAATGGACAACTCTAAAGGCGATTTTCTCAATGTTTAAATCTAAAAAAAAATTTATTGACCTTTGTGACTGGTTTTGTGGTCCAGGGTCACATATGCTGATTTGATACTCAGTTATCATCAACTTTGCTTAATATTTTTTGGTACCCAAACAGTTGATGTAACCCATGGACTTCCATAGTAGGAAAAAAAAACTATGGAAGTCAATAGGGTACATCAACTGTTTGGTTCATTCTTCACAATATCTTTCTTTGTTTTCAACAGAAGAGAGAAGTTCATACAGGTTTGAAACAACTTGAGGGTAAATAAATGATGACAGAATTTTCATTTTGAAGTGAACTATTCCTTATGTGATTATTTTACCCCAAAACAAAAGAACATGTATTATAATAATTTAAAATAAAATTATTATTTTTGTCTTACATTTCATCATGAACGCAGACAAGCTCAGTGCAGACTTGTTTTTCATCAGTTCTTTCTTATGATTTGGAATGTGTGCAAAGGATTGTGGGTGATTAAAGGATGCGAAGGATACACTTGATGCATCCCTCAGAATGAGCTGAATAAAGGAGGTGAAATGAAGGCTGCCTTCCAAAGATCCTTCTAATTGAGACTTGATGACGTGGCAGCCGGGGACGCAGCCACAACGAGTGCTGAACTTTCTGAACCTGCACCCTATTCTTCTGTGGTCCAGAATGGCAGGTATGTTTGAGCTGTGCCCTCTACTGTACAGGAATGAATCTGCATTTCCTTCAGCCTGGGGCTTATTCATTACACTTGTGTGAAAAGGTCTTTACGTTTGACAAAAATAGAACTTAGGTTTATTTTGTTATAAAAACAAACAAGCAAGCCCAGCCCAGGTGAGAGAAAGTAGCGCAAAAGTAACGCAACACCTTACTCTCCATTAAAAGTAACTAAATGCAACACAATTAGTTACTTTTTAGGGAGTAACACGATATTGTAACGCATTACTTATAAAAGTAACTGTAAAAGTAACTCATTACTTTTAAAAATCTCTAACACAGTGTGAGTGTGTATATATATATACACACACACACACACACACACACACACGCGCGCATGTCAATACAAAAACTTCTCACTTTATTATTTTATTTGTATCTATTTAACTCAAATTCTGTTTGTTTGGACGGTGGGAAAAAAATAGCAAATAGATATGTCTATTGAAAATATATCAATGTGTAAATCATATAAACATTTAACTTTTGCATGTCTTCCTTTGATCTGTTAAACGTGTTTCACAGAAACAGATTAGTCAGTTTTGACCATTTACCTTTCAAAAACTACATTTAAAGTAAATTTTCTTACAACACTCCTAACTTTCATTTTTGCCTTATTAATTTAAATAAAATTTAAAAGGCTTATCTCAAGTCACATTCCACCTCAAAGTAAAAAACGATAGAATTTCTCATAAAAAAACCTACATTTTTTTTGCATAGTTATTTGGACAGGTTTAATGAAAAGGCTGAGAATGTTTTACCTTTCCATTCAGCACAGACAGGTTCTCTGCTCCTACTATGTGGAGATCTGGAGTTGACTGGTCATTCTGGTTGGAAATCAAGATGAACAAGTCAAATATTATTATAATATTTCTTGTTTCATGTAAAAAAACTAAAATCAAAATGAAAATACGAAAATACAACATTTAGTACGTATTTACTGGGAACAATGTGTCATGGAAATACTTGTATTATCTACTTTCAATGAGCCAAGCCTAGACATTACATCAAGTTAGTTACATACTATTATTATTTAATGAGCAAGTGGATGAATAAGTGGAATAAGTGGATACTTTCCAGACAAAGCGATTTAGCATACAATAAATAAAACTTCTCCTAGATCCACCTGGGTTTAACAACTATAGGCTTTAGTTTGACTGCAATGCTGAGAAAAAAAATGCCTTCAAAGATGATAATGGGAAATCAACTGACAAACAACACGGAGCATGACAAATATAAAGTCACGACGCCCTCTGTTGACTAAATGCATACAATGCAGTCAACATTCATCAACAACAATCACATTTTATTAGTCAGAAATGAAGCAGAACTGGAGAGAAACTAGGCCTTTGCAGATACTTGAGTGACATATTATTAGTTCTCTATTAATGTAAAAACAACATGTAAAATAAGACCAGGAAGGTGTACTAAGAAAATATACACTACTGTTCAAAGGTTTGGGATATGATTTTTTTCCTGAAAGTAACTAATACTTCTATTCAGCAAGGACACGTTTAATTGATCAAAAGTGACAGTAAAGACATTTTAAAAAATGTTACAAAATATTTCTATTTCTAATAAATGCTGTTCTTTTGAACTTTCCATTAATAAAAAAGTATTTTGGTTTCCACAAAAATATTAAGCAGCATGTGACAGTTTTCATGTGACACTGACGACTGAAATAATGGCAGCTTTGCCATTACAGGAATAAATGACAAATTAAAATAGAAAACAGTTATTTTAACTTGTGATAATATTTCACAATTTTACAAAGAAGCTTTGGTGAGCATGAGCATGAAAGACTACTTTCATGAACTTAATTTAAAAAAATATATATATATCTTACCAACCCCAAACTTTTAAATGCTAGTTTAGCTTTTGTTTTATGTCTGGCTTCACACAGCAATTCACATGCATGAAGTAGATGATTCATTAGCACTGTGAAGCCATGCTGAGATAATCAGAAACAAAGTGGCATTTGTAAAAGTAAATCATTGTGTCTGTGTGCATGTGTGTGAAAGAAACTTGTGATTCATCATATGATCCAAGTAGTTTCGTGGCTGTTTTTGCATATAAAACGTTTAGGAAAATCACTTTATATTTGCTCAGTACTCAAAAAGCAGGATCAAGAACACTAAACTCCAAGTGTGCTCACCAGGTAGCTCTTGAGACGTATGAAGTCCACCCTCATGGGAAGGGTCTTGTTGGAGTTTCGGCACAGGACTTTGATGCAGTCCACCAGGTCAGCACAGAACTGAAAACCTCCCTTCAGCACACACAACACCACAATGTCATGATCGCCAAGATCTTCCAAGATATTCCTTGCCAGTCTCTCGGTCCTGGAAGAAACCCATGACAGCACAACAAAGTCCATTTTAATCCAAAAATGTTAGTTTTTCATATTGAATTCTCAGGGGGGAAAACATTAAAGCCTATGTCTATATGCTTCACAGGCAAATAATCCTCAAGGTATCCAATTTGAAATGTATCCTGATAATTTAGAACCGATACCTTAGCAACAAAACATTTTTTTTTAAGAACACATAGTTCAAAACATGACTATTATCAATAAATCCCATGACTGCTGATTTACAAACAATAATTTATATAATTTTCGGTGAGATTTTCAGTACAAAGATATTATTCCGATAGAACAAGTATTAGGCCAAATAGCACTCAAATACCAATTTAAAAATTTTGTAGAAATGTCTACTAATACAGCAGGATCTTACATCTTATTCTTATCTTATATAATTATGATCCTTTATATCAAATTCTGATAGGAATCCTGCACAAATTCCATTGGATTTTTTTTTAAAGGATGTAACAAGCAGATTTTTCATTTCACTAGTAAAACTATAAAAACGACAAGCTAACAAGCTTGTAATATAAATGCTTATCCAAAGTCACTGATAATTGTAGAGTAATTGCAAAATGAACCCACGTGCAAATTAATTGTCATTAACCTCACAAAAGGAAAGGCGGCAATTCATTGCATTGTTCACATGTAGTCATTTCCCACGCAATTTTAGCAAACATTTGTAAAATGTGTGTGTGTGTGTATGCATACATATATAAACAAACTGATGTTAATTGTGATTAATTAATTTGACAGCACAATTATAAACTTAAACACAGAAGCATTATGCTGTAAATCACTGTAGTTCTAAATACTGCAAATAAAGGCATTTGAAATCTCAAAACAGTTGCATTGCTGAAATGTTTTAAAAATGTAATATGAAGTTAAATCTATTAAAATATAAAGCTAGCTTATATTAAAAATATTGTTTCATTTGTTAATATGCAGTAGGTTCCAAAGGTCTAAAAATATTTGGAAAAATAAAATAAAAAATGGTCTGGTCTGCATGGTGGACGTCATCGGTAAGTGTCTAAATGGCGCCTTAATTGCATTTCCAGTACCTGTCCATGATAACTCCATGTGGGATGTAGACACAGTCCAGATCCTCCGAGTAATGCTCGGGATAGGTGAAAAGATCCAGCGGGTACCCGGGCCAGTCATCTGGGATCTATAAAGCACAGTTGAGCTGAGGCACATGCATTTTATTTTCACGTGTTACAAAGTTTCAGCACCATGTTAGCTACGTTTACAGTATGATTACAACGTTTCCAATGAAGTGAAATCCGTCAGCTTCGGATGGTTTCACACTAAAATGAGTAGGCTACACTAAGTTATATGAGTTACGTAATTTATTTTGCGATGCTTTTAGTTCACAAACCACAATTCCTTTATCCGTGTCTGTTTGTTTGCGTTCCCGTCCTGCCATGTTGGATTCCTTCAGCTCGTTGATCTACAAGTAGCCTATACCCCACGAATGAATTGAACTCTTCTCGCGTCCCGTCCACATCGGTATTGTTGATGACGTCATCGGTAGCGCACAGAATGGGTGTCACCGGTGGCGGAGCTTGGCGTATCGGTATGTGGGTGCAAGTGAGAAAGTCTGGGTTTCGTGCAATCCCTAGCTCTTGTTCATTACGTATTTATCTGAAGTTATTAATTATGTAATATTTATATTTATCTTACGTTGTTGACTTGACGGTGTCAGCTTCACTGTTCAGTTGCCCCATTAAAAGCTGTGCAGTGTGCATCACCAGTGGGGTACTACGTCAGTGATCATGATTGGAAATCAGCCAATGAGAATGCGGTGCAATGAATGCAGCGGTCCACTTTAAAACCTTACATATACATACTATCCGTTATAGCCAACTGTGCTTTTTACTTTCCATAATTAAATAAAGTCCCTATTGCTTGTCTGCTTTTCACTGAATAATGCATTCAAATGTGTCCTCACAAACCTGGCTGGAATAGCCGAACCTGTTAATTACAAGAGAGTGTCCACATACTTTTGGGCAAAACCATAACTATTATGCATGTTTTAAATATATTAAAAATAATAATAAAATAATTACATTTTAAATAATACAAATCAAATAGCCTACTTTAAGTAATATGATAAAATGTTAAACCTACATGAAAACATTTTTAATGGTGATCAATGCTCTTTATAAAGGCCTTTGCTCTGTTTATGTTGTGGTTTGCAATACAGATCTTGATGAAATGCCATGGTGAAAACCTCCATGCTTCACAGTTGCATGAGGTTCTTTTTCTCAAATGCAGTGTTTGTTTGTTTTTGCCAAACATGCGGTTTTGTGGCCACATTACTCCAGACGGACTTTTCTTCTCGAAGACATTGGAACTACATTGCCTTGACATTTTTTTTTGTAAAGATTTTTGAGAACCTTTTTTCATGCTGACATTCAGACCAGATAGGTGCTCTTAAATAGCTTAAAATTGGCTATAATTGGCAGCAGTCCTTTAATATTGGCATGATGGTGACATCATGGATCGTTGTACTTCAATGAAATCAGACCAATTTACTGAGGTTTACAATAGAATAGCCTTTCGCTTTACTCGTGTTTTCATTTAATTCAAATCTTATGTACTTCATGTAGTGATAAATGTAGGGATGTACTAATTTTTTCACACAAGAAATTGCTATTCCTGTTTATTTACGCTGTACAAAACATTATAGTGCCTTTTGTTAAGTTATGCTGCCATTTCTTAGCATTGCTGAAATGAGCCTAATATCGGTATATGTCATAATGTTGAAAAAGCTGCACTTTAGACTGGGGGTGTACAGATTCCCAATATTGTATGTAGATATAGCTTATATGACTTTCTACTGCCTTTATTCTGAGGAAATTGATGAATCCGGGCAATAGGTGATTTCAATTTTACTGTCCTTGTGGGTATATTTGATGTCCCTCAATATAATCATAACAGCCACAGGATGCTGCATATATAGGTCATTATATTTTAACCACATAGGCAAAATCTAAGCCACACTATCTCTCCCTCCCTCTCTCTCACACACACGCTAATTTCAATTTTATTGTAATTGAAAAGGACCATAGCACAATTAACGCCAAGGTCACGAGCTCTGTGCAGGGGATGCATAAAATATACATGGAATGCAAGTTGCTTTGATATTTAAATAATATATTGCTTTTATAAAAAATATGCATCTAATTGTACCCTGTCTAATTGTAAAAAAAAATAAATAAAAAAAAATAATAATTTACAACATAATTTTCTGAAATGTAGACATTGTCTGCATGAATTATAAGGTAATTCGCTTACAATTCACACATTTGTATAGTGATTTACAGTAAAATTACACATACTGTCTTTCTTATTGTCGTTTTTTATCATAAATTGTCAGGTAACTTAACAAATAAAAAGAAATTTTACTGTACAATTTTTACATTAAATTTTTTACCGTGCAGGTTCAAAAGGTTTAAAGTCGGCAAACTGAAGTTGCAATGCCCAAACTGTGACGTTTATTCGAGTGAAAGGGCTTCTAGAACAAGAAAAAAATGTAAGCCTTGATTTTGAAAATTGATTGGATGGTTGTGGTTTGCTATTGCTGTGATGTCATGTGAGTGACAGGTAGTCCCGCCCTCACGCCAGTAAACACGTCAGAGAAGAGAAGTCTCTGCAAGCGGGAGGGGAAGTTGTTTTGATTAAAGATTAAGAAGAGGGCACATGAATTAAAATATAATGATGTGCATTGTGCATGGATAAATCATTTATAATAAAATAATGCAATATTCCATTCAAAAAATAAGAATTGTCCATTTTGATTTCATGGTGACTTTAACCCTATAATAATGTAACATGCTGCAACATATTCCCATGAGAACATCCCGTACCAGTTATCTCCCTTCACCCCACCCAAGTGCACAATATTGGCAGGGGCGAAGACCATTCTCAAGTCTTGAGTAACGAGGGAAAGAGGCTTTTGGAAACAATCAGCCCCCCACCAGCTCCGAGCGAGCATTCGTTACTGATGGGAGTAGTGAACGCTATAGTAACCCACGGCAGAAACGATGCTGTAGATATTTGCCACAGTCGATTGCTCTTAAATCTACACACATAGGCTTGACGCGTTCGGTCCACAGAATGCCCGTTTATCTACAGACGTGGGTGGAGTGGTCGGTGTGTGTATTTGTCTGATTGAAGCATTAGAGTTGAGTAACTTTTGAGAATGCGCGTCTGTTTACGTTGAGCTGAGGAATGGGCGCACTTATGAAGTGAATGTCAATGGAGAATGTTCACGGTCCTTGTTGGCGTCGAGGAATGGATGCATTCCTGCTCTACCTTCTTCTGCTGTTGGGAAATGCGAAGGGATCAAATTATGGCTACGTGGAATGGTCTGAGAGCGATAAAGATCCTGAAATCAAGGCTAAATATCCGATTTACAGCACCGGGGAGACGATGCACCAGCAGACGACCATCTCCAACCCCTTTAGCACCGAGCGAGCGGCGGTGGCGCACAAGCTCGAGGAGGATCTGCCGCGGGTGGTCACCGCTTTCCTGCACACGGGGGACTCATCCACCCTGGAGCATGTCAGTTGTTCACGGCGGTATGAGCTGAGCAGTCTCCGCGGTGGAGCTCACGCCGCCTCGCACTCCTCCCTCCACGGCATCCTCGACACCATGGCGCACGCCACCAACTTCCTAAACATGCTCCTGCAGTCCAACACATCCAGGGAGCAGTATCTGAGGAGGGATATCCAGTGGTACCACGCGCTGGTGACGAGTATGTTGGAAGGGAATCCTAAAATCCACCGGGCAGTGGTCACATTTCACACGGATTCTCCAGAGGCGCCTGGTCCGCAGGTGTTCCTCCAGGCGACCAGAGGCCAGGAGCGCATAGTGATTCAAGATCTGTCCACATCCGCGCGCCATCGCCTTAAAAACAGGACGTCTGAGTCCGACTGGTACAACGAGTTTCGGGACCGAAAGAGACCCCAGCGGTTGGCCAAAGGTCGAGGCTTTCCAGCAGCCCAGGGCGGATATTTTCTGGACAGTCATGTCAAGTGGTCTGCGCCCTATCTAGAGTGCAAGCACGGCAGTTTTGTGCCGCACTGGCTCTTAACTCTCTCCGCAGGTTTCTATGGCTTGAAGAATAACACGGCGCCAGAGTTTAGGTAAGACAATGTTATCTATGCTGCTATTCTTTGATCTAAACTTTATATTATTATTAATAATAATAATAATGAGACAAAAATGTCTGACTCAAGTCATCCTAGAGCTTTAAAGAAACAACCACCAAACTCGTGTCAGACCTTTAGACTGATCGGACTTTATCATTTTATATGTCTAAGATCTATCTATCTATCTATCTATCTATCTATCTATCTATCTATCTATCTATCTATCTATCTATCTATCTATCTATCTATCTATCTATCTATCTATCTATCTATCTATCTAGGTCTATCTATCTATGTCTGTCCGTCTGTCTCTGTCTGATAGCAACCTTCAAACTTTAAACATACTTCAAACTCAAGCATTTAATACTGCAAACTTTCTGGTCAGGCTTTCTTTCTTAAGCCAACATCAAAGTTTGTCTTGACTAACTTTTTTTAATTGTAGCAGTTATACATCAACAACACAGACTGAACCACAAATTCAAACTTTGTAACTCACAAACCCCAACTTCATGTTTATGTAAGACAAGTTTTTAGTTTGAGCATACATTAGATTGTATATATACATGCAATAACTTTGCTAATGTTTAGATCAGTTATTCACATGATATGAATGTTGAGGAGAACGGGGTAATTTCTCAGAATTGGTTTATTAAGTCACTTTGTGTTGGTTCTGTAACCAGAACCTAAACATTTCCATAAGAAAAAAAGATTACACTATAGTTCACTGAACACGTGTTAACATATTGCCGTATGTGGGTGCCACAATGGTAATACCATTAAGTCAAAAACTCAACAACAACAAAAAAGCTCTATGATTCAGTCATGGGCAGTGTCTCCATGTGATTTAAATAAGTAAACCCCAATAGAATCAACCATACAACTAACTAACTAGAATCACGAGTTTAACATGAATGAATAGTTTTAGTTTAACTTAAAGAAATGGTTCTCATTTCAATTTAATTTAAATAATCCTACAATTAATGCTTATTGTTTAGCCCTGTGATTTATATAACCTTTCTTATATTCAGTGTTGGCAGTCCAGATGTGATACTGGTTTCATCCAGAACACCACCAAAGTGTTTGTTTATTTATTACTAAAGCAATTTAAATTGTTGTTAGCAGATCCTCAATTACAGTTTAACTCAGTCGCTTTGGTACATTTCTCAGATCAGAATTGAAATTCTCAAAACTACCTGTTCAATCTTCACATCATTGTGTCACTTGTGCAAATCAAAAAAAACACATTTCTTTGAACAAGTTGCATATGCTTTGGTACAACCATGCAAATGATTATGTATTGTCTGCTGTTTCCTACATTATCAATTGCTTATGTCATGTTTATCAAAATTTATTATAATGGGTCTCTGTTGAATTGTCTCACCCTCCACAACATTTAGACATTAGTTCATAGCATAAGTCTTTACATGCAAAATGGTTGAACAAGTTGTCATAATATGCAGTTTTCCCTAAGGAGATTGTCCTATGTTCATGTTTTGCAATGACATGGTCTGTCAACAAATAACAGTACAAACAGTAAAAGCGTAAATGTGAATCTTGTCCAGTCACTTGCAATCAAACTCCCACATACACTAAAATGTCTAACCTTCAATTTACAATAATTGTAATAAAAACTTTAGCCACAGTTTACATCAGAACATCCCTCCAGAGTACACTGTTATATTGACAACATGACTAAGCAATTTGACTCTGTCTTATCCGGACACATTGACTCAAGGACTTGTCATTCTGATGGCACTGACATGTTCATTGACACAGATATTTACTTTTGAGAGATGAACTAAGGATTTTGAGCAAGAGACTGGCTTTTGCAGGTAAACCATGGTGTTTTGCTATTTGTACAAATAGTTTTGAGAAATGCACTTTTACAAATGTCGAGGATGATTCGAGAAATGTAAGCGATTGAGAAAAACTGTAAGCACAAAGCTCAACACTTCACCACAATGGTAACCACCGAAACCACTAACATAACAGAAACATTTAAAAGCCATCATAATAGAAAGTTAAATATTAACAAGTCTCTCCATTTTCTCATCTTGCCAAAAATGCATAAAATAACACTTTATTTCAACATTTACTCTCCCAATTCAGCCCCTTTGCAAAGCATGATGAGAAGTGAAAGTCCTGTTTGATTGGGTTACTTGATTGAAACATGTTATTCCAAAGTGAAAACATCAAGTCAAAGATTAACTGTTTCTAGTCAATTTAACATGAAGCGATCACATTTGAACCAGAAACCTGAAACAGTGGTGTTTAATCAAAATGAATTGTTTAAATACAGTGAACAGCATTAAAAAAAATCCTTTTTAGTGTGATATATTCTGATATATAAATAAACGTTATTCTTTTATAAGATTTAAAACACATGCCTGACCTGATTTCTATGACAAATCCTGAGAACAGTTCAATCTCTCAGTTAATATTATATTTCAGTTTCAGTTAATTAGTTGACTTTTGTCTGAATGTATGCTGAGGTTATATTGTGTATACCCAGCAAATATAGCAAAAATATGACAATATTATGATGCTTGAATATTAGTTTTGTGGCAAGAATATAAGAGATTTTGAAATAATTTCAGAACAATTTACAGTTACTTAGGCCATGTTTACACGGAAACGATCTGAAGAGAAAACGCAAAAGTGGCGTTTCGTTTTCACTTTTTATTCTGCGTTTAGACGAGCGTTATGGGGGGAAAATCTGCATGCATATGGAGACGCAAAAGTGTTAGAAATGCGATGTAGTATGCACTCCAGGCGGCTAGGTGGCAAAGCACTGCCACACAACAACAACAAGTCCGTGCGCCTGCGTACAACCTTCCTTCTACTTCTCTCCCTAGTAGCGCGAAATTGAAAAGACTCTTGGACGTTTATCAGAGCTGCTAGGGCAACTTGAAGGTCCGACGTATGGAAATAATCCGACATGTTGGTTGTTATTTTCCTGTACTGGCGCATGCCTGTGACGTAAATGCGTACGCGACGAGAGCCACCGTGAGCAGATTTGCGTTTTTACCCGTTTAGATGGAAACGCGACGGTGGAGCGTTTTTAAGATTTCCACTTTGGAGGGTGGTTTCACTTTTTTGCGTTTTTAAGCCCCAAAAACGCCGTCGTCGTGTAAACGAAAGGCACATCCGATAAAATATTATTACGTTTTCACCCGGAATCGTTTTCGTGTAAACAGGGCCTTATATATAACCATATCTGCAGGTATTTGGACACTTAAGCCCTGTTTTCACTTGGTATTAAGATGCGTTTTGGCTGATCGGATCATGAGGGAGACATTCCCGTTTACACCTGGTGTTTTAATCCGTCTCTTTTGTCCACTTTCAAACACTTCTGTCCTGATTTCTTCGAGGGGAGGGTCTATGGGCGGGTACATGTATGGGCTTTTTCAGATATTTAGATGTAATTGATGAAATAAGCTCACACAATTTACATACTGTATAAACGCGACCAGAAAAACATACGGAGAGCAGCAGCTTCAGTTTCTGCTCTGACAGCCGCAAGACCAGTCCACAATGCATCGTGTTTTACAGTACAAAACCGTAATACATAAATACAGTATATAAATGGTGAAAATGGGCTGTTAATTAGCAGAAATTGCTTACCATGCAAAATATTGCCCAGAATATGTATGACAACAGGAGTATGACGTATATGGAATCTTTAATGGAATCAAGCATCTAATAAATAAAGCAAGACAACAGAATGCAATAATACCGAAGTATTCATCAAATGCCATGTTAATTATTTACAGCAATAATCTGACAAAAATTAGATCTCAAACCAATTCATTCTACTCATAAAGTTATTGTGACGTCTATATTGTGTATCCAATGTGTTTCGAATTACGGATATGCAACAAACTTTCTGGAAGCAGTCATGAGTAGCTAGTAGATTTCTCCAAAGATGTGGTACAATAGTTGAACAGCATATTAAAGGGATACTCCGCTTTTTTTTGGAAATAGGCTCATTTTACAACTCCCCCAGAGTTAAACTGTTGAGTTTTACCGTTTTTGAATCCATTCAGCCGATCTCCGGTTCTGGCGGTACCACTTTTAGCATAGCTTAGCATACATCATTGAAGTGGACAAGACCATTAGCATTTCTAAAAAAAATGACCAAAGTGTTTCGATATTTTTCCTATTTAAAACTTGACTCTTCTGTAGTTACATCGTGCACTAAGACCGACGGAAAATGTAAAGTTGCGATTTTCTAGGCTGATATGGCTAGGATATACTCTCATTCCTGCGTAATAATCAAGAAACTTTACTGCCGTACCGTGAGAGCAGCAGGCGTAATGATATGACGCAGCGCCTGAAAATAGGCCACCTTCCGTCAACACAACGGAACTATTTTCAGGCGCTGCGTCATATCATTGCGCCTGCTGCTCTCATGGTACGGCAGTAAAGTTTCTTGATTATTACGCAGATTATTTCGCAACTTTACATTTTCCGTCGGTCTTAGTGCACGATGTAACTACAGAAGAGTCAAGTTTTAAATAGGAAAAATATCGAAACTCTTTGGTCATTTTTTTTTTAGAAATGCTAATGGTCTTCTCCACTTCAATGATGTTGCTACGCTATGCTAAAAGTGGTACCGCCAGAACCGGAGATCGGCTGAATGGATTCAAAAACGGTAAAACTCAACAGTTTAACTCTGGGGGAGTTGTAAAATGAGCCTATTTCCAAAAAAGTGGAGTATCCCTTTAAGGGAAAGCACCCCAGGTTTGGAAAAACATGAAAGTGGGTAAATGATGACAAAATTTTCATTTTTGGTTGAATTACCTCTTTAATTTTCAGGCCGTTGTGCAGTTTAGCTCCTATTCAGTTTCATTCCATTTGTTTCATTTGTTCACATTACATAACTTACAAAGACAACAAAGCAAATTAATCTTTCTCAAAGGGTTTTAATTAAGGTCTGTATAGCCTACTTAGTCATATAAGGTTATTGTGTTTTTAATAGTCTGTTGCATAAA